CAGCCTGTCACTCCCAGCCATTCCTCCAATGAGTAGTAATTTACACTGAGAGCTTGGTGCAAATCAATGGGGTTATGAGCTAGAGTCCTACTCACTAGGAGTAACACAGCTGAAAGCTGGACCCTGTACTGAACTCTTGCTCTGGTTTTGAAATGGTGAGGAGAAGATTGGAGGCTCCCACCTAAGGGCGGGTTGAAAAAATATGTAATATTTTGCAACACAACATTTGACACATTTTATTGCTGAAATGTTTACTATTACTTGTAATTCCATCAGAGAACCTCAGAGGAATAAATGTATGTAGAAATTCATAGAAATTCCTTTATTAATATAATGAAAAGTTTAGTTCTGATATTTTTTATTGATATATTCAAGTTTGGTAATACCAGGTTGAGGTTTTTTTTCTCCTTTTTTTTTTTTTTCCCCTTTCAAAAGACACTTTACTGTTGTTTTAAAAAGTGATCTCGATTTCAATAGGCATTTATCACTATAGATATAAGATAAACATTCCCATCAAGTGTAACATTGGATTGAACTCCATATTCTCTGCTTTGCTTTTTCACTAATAAGAAATCTGGGAGATTTTTGTAGCCTGAATTTACATTCTATATTTTTTTTTTTTTTTTTGTCCAGTGAATCAAAAAAAGAAACAGCACTCCACAATGACTACTCTGTCTTCCTGATTTTAAGGATGATATTTTGCTTATATGGGATGTTCTATTTTAGACTGAGATGTTTATACAAGTTTTGGCTTCTTAGCTATTGTGTTTTCTAACACCATAAGCCAGACAATCAGTTTATTCGGCACTGTCATAGTATACTAAATGTCCTATTAAAATTCATGTAGTGATTCTGATGATGGGCTTATGCTGTCTGTACACTACTCCCAAGCCTACAATGAAGACAGAAGATTTTCCAAGCAGAGCTCGCAGGGAAGCTGCATCCACAGTGAGATGGATAAAGACTATGTGTAAAGAAGCTTTTCAAGTAAAAAAAAATTGAGTTTGATTATTTAACCAAAAAGCAAATCTTTGCCACATGCCAATATGCACACAGAGAAGGTAGCATGAAAAGAAAGCGGATTAATAATTTGATTATTGCTGGACCTGATTGAGGTGCTACTGCATCTGCGTTTTTTGTTTGTTTTTTTTTTTTTGCTTTTTTTTTTTTTTTTTTGGAGGTTGTGCACTGACCTAACACTGAAATATATTAGAGAGAATATGAGACAAGCAAATATGAAGAAAAGTGGATATAATAAAGAAGGTTTTGAACGTAAAGTTAGTAGACATAAGGAGCTGATAAGAGCATGTAGAGGAGATTCCTCGGAAAAAAACTTAAGATACACATGTAAAGCAACAGTTGTTACCACAGCCATCTTCTGTGCAACTAAGACCTTAACAAAAAAAAGAGTTTTGGTCTCTGAGCCAAAAGTAGATGTAAGAGCAAGTGGCACTCTGTCAGCTGCATGAGCAATTTTGAAAGATGTTTGAGTAGGATGAACACTAATCAACAATTTTGCAGGACACACTAAAATTCCTTAAATTTGGTGTCACAGTTACAGGATGTAATTCTGTGACACGAGCATTCTGTAGTGACTGGCCTTGTGCCTTCACCTGCCTGCATAGGTGGTGTCCCTACCTTCAGTCCACCCTGCCCAGCAAAGGCTTACCCAGTTCATCTGAGCTGGGTTTGGATCTGAGAACTTTTCATTGGGTGCTTCTTTTGGAGTTTTGCTCCCCATGTAGACTAGGGAGCAACCATGGTGCTTGATGTGACGTTTCTGGGTCTTCTGTTACCTACAGGCAGGGCCAGGCTGAGAACAGAGCAGCTCCCTTCAGGCTCCTGCTCCACTAAAGGCCAGCTTAGAATAGAAGCTAATACCTGGTCAAGTGTCAACCCAGTGTGAAAGTGGAGTACATGCAGGATGTGAGCTTGGATGTGAGCAAATGCTTCTGCATCCTAGGCAGGGATGCAAGAATGACATAACAGTCCTTGCAACATAACAGAAATTTTTGCTCCAGCTCTTAAACCACGGAGAAAGAATCTGCCCTTGTCCACATGGAAATCTACTTCACAGAAAAGCAGCCTGGCTGCTGGTGGCACTGCTAGGTCTCTCATTTCTTCAAGTATCTTCTAATGTCCTCACTTCTCAATCTGAACCTTGCTTTTCTCTTGAGAGATTTTTTTTTCAGCACTCTCATATTTACAGATTTTTAATCCACCATCTCCTCCCTTCCAGGCTCAGTATAGATTTATAGGTTGGCTATAGAAGAGGCAAAATCCTCAAAACCAGAGCCAGACACACAAGAGCCAGCTGGCAGAAGGAAAGGGCAAAGTGCTGATCTCCACCTGCATTTCTGCATCAAAGTTCCTAGAGAAACCCTGACAGCTTGGGCAGATACAGCCTTGGTAATGACCAGGAGGTTCAGAATTCACCATGTGCAGCCAACCTTGATGCAAGTGCCTGCAGAGGTTCATCTCTCTGCAGGGGTGTCTTAATTTTAGCTAGTGGAATTGCTTTCTTCAGAGTGCCTGGTATGATGCTACACTTTGGTCCTAGAAGAAAAACAATGCTGATAACACACCAATGTTTATAGTTGTTGCTAAGCAGTGTTGCACAGAGCCAAGGCTATTCACAGCAAAGGACTCAAGGAGCTGGGAGAGAACAAAATTAGGACACCTGAGTGAAAATGGCAAAAGGGATATTCCATACCATATGACATCATGTGGAAGGAGTTTTGAAGGGGGTGGGAGTTAATCTGGCATTCTTCCACTTGCTGGGGGGCTAGGTAGACATCAGTCAGTGGGTGGTGAGCAATTGTTTGTGCAGCCCTGGTTATATACAGTCATATATAGAGAGAGAGTCATAACTATTATTCCTTTCCATTTCTCTATTTAAGTAAATAGTTTTATTTCAGCCCACAAATTCTACTTTTTTTTTTTTTTTTTTTTTTTTTTTTTTTCCCCTAATCTCTCCCCCATCCCACTGGAAAGTGGGGGAAAGTGAGTGAAAGACTGTGTGGCGATCAGCTACCTGCCAGATGAAACCACAGCAAAGGCTGTCAGCTGCAGCAGTGCTGCTGCTCTAGGGAACAGTCTGACTCCATACTGTGGGATTTTTGTTTTCTTTTTTACCCACTACATATGGCTACACAAGGCAGCAACAGGCAGAAGAGCCGCACCCACATCTCCTCCCTGTACCACTCAGACCAACTTGACACATTTCCTTAGGCCACAACCATCTCTTGGGACAAGGTGTGGGGGGGGGGTCTCAGTCTACAGAAGAGCCCACCAACAGTGGTTCTGGACCTACTGCTACCACTAACTCCTACCACTGACATCTGTTTTTATCAAGCAGGAATGGAAGAAGTTGCTTCAGACATAAAGGCCCTTCACTCTTACACAAGGAGAGATCCATCAATTTTTCTACCGAGTTGCCAACAGAGTGCAAAGCTTGCATAAGAGCACCTATGCCAGGTCTTTTGTAAATCTTGGTACTGGGGGGAGGCTTGTAAATACTCAGAGAAAGATTTGACCTCACTGGGATACTAATCAAAAAATTACAGAATCACATAATCATTAAGCTTGAAAAAGATCACTAAGATCATCCAGTTGAATCATCAATCCACCCACTCAAAAGTGCTGGTATCTTTACCTGAATTTCTGTCTTTCTGGCTGCCATCAGTCATGATTGAAAGCCATGATTTAGCTGGCCTCATTTAGGTACCTGCTTTGGGGCTAGAAATGTTACATCCTTGAAGCAGCTACATATCTCCTTCCCATACCAGAGTTTTCCTTTAAAAATGATAATAATTTCCTTAGAAGATGGTAATGCATTTAGTGATAGAATATCATCAGACCTCCTTAGTTCATTAGAAACCATACATGCTGCTAACATACAGACATTTTGCAGGACTGAATAACAGTAGTCAATTCACAGTTTTAGGCAAGGTCTGCTTTATTAGTATGAATTCCAATTCATCTTAATGAGTCAAATATGGTCTATAATTCATATTTAATATGGTCTATAATTCATATTTTTTTTCATTTGTAGTAGTAGAACACAAATATTTCATTTCTTTGTCATTTCAGCTTATGAATGGAAAGTATGTTTGCCACAGTTTACAGCGTTCTACAGAAAGAACTGCCTTCAGACATGAACAGATGATACTGTGTTGTTTGTTTTTCTTTAAGTTGCAAAACCAATGTAACAGAGTATTTGCTTGCGAGCACAGAGTATTTGCTTGGGAGCACAGAGTAAATAACTACATGTGTTGCAACATAACCATTCTGATTTGCAAGGATTTCACGCTTATTAAACAGCATCCATGACATCTGGGAAATTTTTCTTTAAGAATAAACAGGCACACAACGTCCTGGAAGGTAAATGGCTCTTTTTTCCCCTAAAGCTTTCCAAATAAGCCAGTACAAGATCCTATGTTCCTTGGGAGTGAACTGCAAAACACTGCCTTTCTGATCCTTTTTCGGAGGTACCTTCCTACTCTCTCTGTGGAACTAACAATAGGGAGAGATGGTGGGTTCACTTATGTCAGATTACTGAGGTGAACAGGAGCTCAGAGGATAGTTACTCCTCCACATAGAAATGCTTCATTCCACGTGGCTCATACTCAGGCTATATTTGCCTTTCTTCGCTATACGTGTACCTATTCAAATGTCAATCTCAGGTTACTGCCCAGTTCACTTCTGCCTCTTATTTTAGCTGTTGCAATGGAATACTTCCTCCTTAAGCACAGAAAAAAAAAAGCTTTTTTTTTTTTTTCACCCTCATGCCAGTTAAAGGTTTTAAATGAAAATCCTGAAATCAAGCTTTTAGCTTAAAAAGGCTACTCCTGTTCCAGGACTTCAAGTGTTTTCAACTCCAGAAAAAAAAAAGAATGACACAGTGGCAATCAAATAGAATTGAGAACATGCAGAGAAAATGCTGCCGCAACAGGAAAAAAACAAAGACCTGGTTGGGTCTCTTGAAGAAAAATATTTACCTCAAATGTGCGCAGAACTTTAGCCAGTGCCCCAACTTCTTCTTTCAAAGAGAAAATCAAAGAAATCACACCATTTTTGTTTGAGGACTCTTCAATGTACATGGATTCCTGAAAGAAACAAGAAAGAAAATCATTAAATTCACCCCAGGAGTTGCTTTTGCTTTTCTCCACCGCTCTTTTGCACTGCATTAGCAACATAAGGAGAACATAAAGATCTTTTAAATAGGATTTAAGCAACTGTTGCTTCCAGGGGAAAGAGAACTGCTTTGGGGCTGCCCTTGTTTATGATGGTAGAGACACACAATATAGTCTTTCAAATTAAGTCCCATGTGTGAGGAAGGTAGTAAAAAATGAAAACAGCCTCACTCCATTTCTGCCCTGCTTTACTTCTCAAGAGTATCGAGCTCAGAGGACACTGGAAATATTACTCTAGTTTGGTTTCAGCTACAGTGAAACACCTCCCGGCTTCTGTTTCATTAGTGCTCAGGATAAAACAGAGCAACACCGAGTTGCTTAACTTTTCTAATATCAGTGTAATTTGAAGTACAACCACCACAAACTTTTGGAACTCACAGGAAGACCTTACTTGTGTTTTTTAACTTTTGCTGGCCTTGGACGCATGATGTTAGGCTGGCATTTCAAAGATCACACCAGACATTTGTAACACACAGAGGTGTGATGTAACAAGTACTAGGTCAAAACCCAACTCAAGGTATCTATCCTTCCAATTTTTCTGTATTAGGATCTACATTTTCAGTCAGGTTCTGTCCTCATTATAGCTATGGCTGAATTTAACATATAAATCAGAGTATAAAGGGTTTCAGTTCCTATATTGTCCGTAAAAATAGCAAAGGCAGTATTTGCAGTAGACATTAATAATGAAATCCAGCTGCTTGGAAGCCATAAAGCTCTTGGTGGGACTACATGTCCTAAGGCAGCATTATAATGAATTATCTTCTTCTATAAAATACATAATTGCTGATTTTCTGGGCTGTCTTTTAAGCTGCTGCTAATGTAAGTATTCACTGCCAAAAAACAACAACAGATCTCTCGACCTGGTTTCATTTCCAGAGTAATTTTGATATTAATAGATTTCTCTACACCAAGATTGCCTTCATTCCAAAGAAGACTTCTTTCCAAGGCAGATATGTTCTTATTGGTGACTAGCATGGATTTGCTGAGAATAGACACTTTAAGGCTGTTTTCACTCATTTTCCCAGTCTTGTAAATTAGTTTATGTTGGTGCTTAAGAATAAGGTACATTGCAGTAGGGACTGAGCACTAATTCTGCAAACATGATGACACTTATCAACTTCTTGCACATCTGCATCTGAATGTAGTTCACTGGGAGGTCTTAGTTCAAAAATTAGTGCATGTTTGTGTTTGTCCACAGAGGTAGAGGCTTTCAGTGCAAGCTGAAGAGAGATTAAAATGATTGATGTCATAACTGGTACCCAGATTTTATCATCTATCTATCTATCTATATGTTCAGGCAACATACACTGGAACCAACATATAAATACAGGCACTCAAATCTATTGCTGAACTTTTTGTACTACATATACATATATTTTCCTGTCGATTACAGTTTATCCATTCTCCGTTCTTATACTAATTTCTTGACTTTTATCCTCATACAGAGACCAATTGTAGTTTTGGGTCAATTCTATTCTTTTACTTCTGTGATGATGATTGAGAGTTGAAAAAATTGTTTCATTGTCACTGAAATACTACCTGTATGATATTCAGATGTGATCTATAGATGTTGTGTGGAAAAAAAAAAGAATCAGCTCTAAGTCTCTTTTCCCAGGAAGTAAAATAAGAACAAGTTGACAAATAGGTGCATTCGTTTCTGGACCTGGCACTATCTCTTACAACAGTGATGTGTAGTTTCAAGGACAGTTTGCCTGAGTGCAGTACAAATCTAAGTTTTTCATTAACTACTTGCCACAGGCATTGACGTTACCTTTCTAATACACGTGGCTGTACTGGAGGACAATAACACAGACCTGCCAGTCTTCTAATCTATTTCTGAGCTGGTTAAGTAAAGCTCTTCAGAGCAAATTCCACAACTGCTGAAGTTAAAGAAAGTTTTTCCTGCAGTTTGAGAGAGAGTAAACTTTCACCTCTCTGTCTTAAGTTGCAGAGTCAGTAGATGTACCAAATAGTGGAGAAAAAAAAAAAAGGAAAAGAATATTTCAAAGAAAATAAGATTTCTCAGTCACTTCTGAAAATGGAACTAGTTTCCAAGCCACTTAGTATCCATTTTCTCATGGCATTTAGATGCTCAGCTCCCACAGACCTTGCCATGGCCAACCAATTAAACAACCTGGAGAAGTAACATGGTGAACCGCTAGCAAATCTGGTGGGGAAATTCAACCTCAGCACACAAAGCAGTAGAAAACCACGCTTCCTTGGCTCCTCTATCCCCAAGAACACTTTTGGAAAATGAAGCTTTTTTTGCACATCTGTTGAAGTTTTTCTTTGCCATCAGAGGCATTGTGCAGGACAAAATAACTAATAATCCTAATAAATAGTTACGTTGTCCTCACCATCACTTACTCCTGCAGTAACTACAGTGCCTGTAACCAAAAGTCATGAATTTCAGTATTTTCCTGAATTTTCCAAAACAAAGGTTTCAAAGTCAGCAAAGATTACAAAAGTGTTGTCAGAGTGCAGAAAGTTAACAAATAGCTCTGCCACAGGAGCACATAACTTCAGCTGCTTTACTTTAACAGTTTGCTTTCATTACTTAGGTTTAAGCTGCCAATCTTTTCTGCTGCATCTTCTATTTGCCATATAGGCAAGGATCCCTGTGCATTCTCTGTCATTTCTCCTTCCTTTCCCCTTTGGTAATGTTTTCATTTTCATTCCCACTGCACGTCTGTGAGCACACCACCACCAGCTGCCAAAAAGGGTAACGGTGGCAACCAAAGACTGCAAAGCATGAGACATGCACCTTATTTTCTCCCACTGTGGGCATCTTGGAGAGCAGAGAACAAGATTTGCAAGCATATGGGCTTAGGGTTACACTTAGGGTTAGGGTTGCAGTTAGGGTCAGGTTTACAGTTAGGATTAGGATTAGAGAGGGGCCCCACTGCTCACCTGGAAGGAGTCTCCATTCATCTTGCAGTGCTGTGCATCCATGGTGAAGAGGAGACAATGCTCACACAGAAACTGCAAGTAAAGCCTTCTGATCTTACCACAGTGGCCAGAACACTGTGCAAAGGTATTTAAAGTGGAGCAAGCAAGGCAAACCCATTCTCTTCTCCAGCTCCCTCCCCTGGATGCTGTGCCAAAGGGGCGTTCTCATTCCACACCCCCTACCCACCCACCCTGTCCTGGCATATGGACTAGCCAGGCCCCCCGGATCCCCATAAGAGCACTCCAGCATATTGTTTTTATCTCTGTACGCTGGAGATGAGCAACATGCATTGAATTAGCAGCTCTCCTCCTCCTGATTCAGCCACCACTTTCATTCCTGCACATCTGTGCTCTGTCTCTCGCTCAGTCTTCCTATGGCTGTGTGTGTTCAGCATCAGGTGGGCTGCCCATCAGGGATCACTCCACATGATCAGAGATCAGATGTTCTCCAGGAGTCTCTCATTGCATGCCAGACATGGGGCACGGCACACAGCAGTGTTTGTCTTTTAGCAGGGCATCCAAGAGGTCAGAGAGCAGGAGGTACAGCTCGTTACACCAGGCAATGAGATAACAGAGGCCAAACATAAAAGAAGCATGAGACAGGAGTCAGCCATGTAAATATTACTCTGGAATATGTGTCTGGACATGGAAAAGTGAAGAAGATAAAGGAAAAAAAATGGAGGATGCAAAAGAATTACCAAAGGTGTATGTGTCCTTGCATGAAATGTCAGCCATGGAGAGCTTCAAGGGTAAGAAGGAATTTGGAAAAGGTTTAGCACAAAGAGTTGATATAAATCAGCCCAGATTTGGTTTGGAAAGAGTCACCGAAGGGAATCACAGAATCATAAAATTGTAGGGATTGGAAAGGACCTCTGGAGATCATTGAGCTCAACTCTCTGATAAAATGTGTTCCCTACAGCAGGTAGATGTCCAAAAGGATCTTCAATATCTCCACAGGAGTCTGTCTCTCTGGGCAGCTTGTTCCAATGTTCTTGCACCCTCACAGGAAAGAAGTTCTTCTGTGCATTTGTATGGAGCTGCCTGTGTTCCAGGTTCTTCCCTTTGAGATAATTGATTGAAAATTATAGATTGATACAAGATGACAGGTGGAATAAATGAACAAATCTAAACAACTGGTCAAGGTCTATTTTGCTATTTGGAAAGATGGAGTCCACACTAAGACAAGCTATGACAAGGCAGGTAATCTTGCTACATTTTTGTGATGAACGTAGAAGAGAGCTCCATTACCCTGTTCTATAGAACAGAAGAATCAGCTCTTCATGATTGCTTTAGGCATGAGGTAATCCCTACTGCATGTACTAGAGTGAATTCAGAATGGTGAATTTTTGCATAGATGTGATGTGAATTATTTGTAAATAAGAAATCCAATAACTATCAAATCTGATCAGCATCACAGTAGGGATCCATTTGCAGGTATCCTAGTCCAAACCCATGTTCAGCACCATGACCAAAGGCTCAGAAACCAGCCCACTGAAGTCATAAAATCAAGTAATTGTTTGAGTTGAGAAGGACCATTAAAGGCCATCTAGTTCAATGAAGGCCCTCTGCAATGAACAGGGACACCCACAGCTAGATCAGGGTGCTCAGAGACCTTCCAGCCTGATTTTGAGTGTCCCAGGGATGGGGCATCCACTACCTCTTCGGCAAACCTACTCCAGTGCCTTGCCATCTTTATCACAGCACACTTTTTCCTAATGCCCAATCTATATTATCTGCTGTATGATGTGGATCTGCAGTAACTCATTGCTTTGCGTGTGAATGTATCCATTTTTCAGACAAGGAGAGATGGTCCAGTAGTAGAAAGGGAGGTTAGCCTTCCTAATTGCCAGCAGCATCAAACCTAGAGACATTGGAGGTCACCTTAAGGCGGTGAGATTAGGATGGCAATAGCATTGATTATAGTATTCCCTATGTAGGGCAGGACAGTTTCCATCTATTCATCTTATTTGCTCCTTGCTTTTCCCACAGGCCATGATTCTCTATGTGGTATACTTTTCAATTAGATTTCTAAAAACTTACATGTGTGTCTTACAGCTGGCCAAAATGTCTGTGCCATCCACAGCCATAAACCACATCTTCTGTCATTTATTTTTGCCTTCCTTTTTCTCTCTTTATTTCTTTCTCTTTTCACAAACCTTTGATCATCCTTTTTTTTTTTTTTTCCTTTTCTGTGGATTTTATGTCCATTTACTTTTCTTCCTTTCTCCCATCCTTCCCCTTTTCTTGAGTTTTAGACCTTCTGCTCACTCTACCTTGACAGTAATTGCAAGGCAAAGTGAAACACTGAGTATGCAAAGTACTGTGCATGCCAAATCTTTGCAATTTGCTGGTTTTGACTCTTACCATTCTCTCTTTTTTTTCTATTTATATTGCAAGTTCCTAATTTATTGCTAGTAATCATAATAACCTCACCAGTGCATTGCCATCAGTTCTCTGTTTAATCAGTAAGAACCTCCACAAGCTGCCTGGTAGCACAAAGCACTGGGACTGCAGGAAGCAAAGCTTTTTGCCAGAAGGAATTCCCAAATTCTCTTGTTCTGGAGCAAAGGTGTATGTTTGTGTGTGCATGCAGGCTGATATTTGCTCCACAGATCAAGCCAATGTCATTGCAGTATGAACACAAGATTGCATCAGGCCTGGTTACCTTGGACAGTTTCAGAATCCAAATTACTTGAGCTGCCTTTGAAGCCCTGATTCAGTGTACCAAGCACAGATCCTTTGCCCCACAGTGACACTGCTAGCCAGGATTTGCCATTTTATTGCCTCCACCTAAATTCCCCATGTATCCCTTCAAAATACCCCTGTTCCTGGCACAAGCACACTACACGCACATCTATTTATGGCCATGCTGCTCAGCCACAACTGAAAGGGCTCTTTGCACAGAAAGTTGGCTGCTTTCACTGGCCAGCACAAAACAAGTTTAAAGCACCATGGACTTTGGCTACTTTTCAAAGTACTCTCTCCCCTCTCTGCCTTTAGTCAGTGTTTGAGAGCAGTGACTTTCCCAAGCCCAGTGACTTCCCCCAAGTGTTCTGTGGTTTGGGCAGGGATGTCCCTTCCTGTGGGTGGATACCTGAATCCCTGGTTCAGGTGTCCTGCTCAATCTGAGGGAGCATCAAGCAGAGAGAGACATTCCTAGAAGTTCCTGAACAAATCCCAAAGGAAGATTCAATGTGGATGCACGCAACTAAGGCAGGGGGTGTCCTTTAGTGAGGGCCCCTCACTATAAGAAAATACTGAGGCCCTGGATTGTATGTAGAGAAGGGCAACAGAGATGTGAGGGGTCCGGAGCATAAGTGTGATGGAGAGCAGCTGAGGGAACTGGGGTTGTTCAGTCTGGAGAAGAGGAGGCTCAGGGGAGACCCTATTGTTCTCTACTACTACCTGAAAGGAGGTTGTGGGGAAGTGAGGGTTGGCCTCTTCTTCCAGGTAACAGTGATAGGATGTAAGGCAATGGCTTTAAGTTGCACCAAGGGAGGTTGAGGTTGGATATTAGGAAACATTTCCTCTCTGAAAAAGTGATGCTGCAGGCACAGGCTGCCCAGGGAGGTGTGGAGTCACCATTCCTGGAGGTGTTCCAGAACCGTGTGGATGTGGCACTGAGGGACGTGGGCAGTGGGCATGGCGGGGATGGGCAGACAGCTGGACTTGATCTGGGAGGTCTTTTCCAGTCTTAATAATTCCATGATTCTATGGTTTATAGATGTTGTACGTGCATTTAGCTAGGTTCCCATGGGGCTGTGGTTCTTTAGACATCAGCCAGACCGAATTTCCTCCCACACCATGGTCACCAAATCTCCAGCCACATTTCTCTCTCGTTGCAGAGCCAGGCTCTTCCCACCCCTGCAGCCCGCTGCTAAGTGCTTCGGACGGCATCCCGGTCCCCTCTCGTGGGTGGCCGGGAGGTGGCACTGTGTCCCCATGGCAGTGGACGCGGAAGACGGGGGTCAGGAAGCCGCAGTAGCCCCGTATCCCCGAGGAGAGTGTCGCCTCTCAGACAGCAGCAGTTACGGCCCGAACCCCCCCCTCCTACCGCCTCAGAGGGGAGGCTCCAGAAAACATCCACCCTCCACTCACCCCCCTTTCCTTTCTTTCCTCTCTTTCCTCCATCCCCAGTTTTGCGATCCAAAAAGTGGGCAGGCGGGGGCAGCGCGGCCGTGATGGACGCGGAACGCGTGTCCGCACAATGGGACACCGGCGGACGAGGGGCTGCGAGGCAGGGGCGCTAGCGCCCGGCGGGATTGACGAGAGCAGCTGGGGGGAACCGGGGACGGGAACGGTGTGGGACTGGGGAGGCTGTGGCCACTGCTGCTTTTTTCCTCTTTTTCCTTCCTTCCTTCCTTCCTTCCTTCCTTCCTTCCTTCCTTCCTTCCTTCCTTCCTTCCTTCCTTCCTTCCTTCCTTCCTTCCTTCCTTCCTTCCTTCCTTCCTTCCTTCCTTCCTTCCTTCCTTCCTTCCTTCCTTCCTTCCTTCCTTCCTTCCTTCCTTCCTTCCTTCCTTCCTTCCTTCCTTCCTTCCTTCCTTCCTTCCTTCCTTCCTTCCTTCCTGCCTCCCTCCCTCCTTCCCTCCCTCCCTCCCTCCCTTCCTCCCTCCCTTCCTTCCTTCCTTCCTTCCTTCCTTCCTTCCTTCCTTCCTTCCTTCCTTCCTTCCTTCCTTCCTTCCTTCCTTCCTTCCTTCCTTCCTCCCTCCCTCCCTCCCTCCCTCCTTCCCTCCCTCCCTCCCTCCCTCCCTCCCTCCCTTCCCTCCCTCCCTCCCTTCCTCCCTCCCTTCCTCCCTCCCTTCCTCCCTTCCTTCCCTCCCTCCTTCCTTCCCTCCCTTCCTTCCCTCCTTCCTTCCCTCCCTCCTTCCTTCCCTCCCTCCTCCCTCCCTCCCTCCCATCTCCCTCTCTTCCTCCCTTCCTCCCTTCCTTCCTCCCTTCCTTCCCTCCTTCCTTCCCTCCCTCCTTCGTTCCTTCCTTTCTTTCTTTTCTTTTCTTTTCTTTTCTTTTCTTTTCTTTTCTTTTCTTTTCTTTTCTTTTCTTTTCTTTTCTTTTCTTTTCTTTTCTTTTCTTTTCTTTTCTCTTCTCTTCTCTTCTCTTCTCTTCT